CATCATCACCTGCATACAACAACACAGACACCAGGTGAGAGACGTTATTGAATACTGGGGGGGGTCGTAAAAACCAACGTATAGAGTAAAATGAAGTACTTAAAGATAACTAAATGTTTCCTCTGTTGTTTCGGTAACTACTGTATGTTTTTATTACGAGAACGTTCCCAATAAAAGAGATCCAAAAGAGAAAAATTTATATTTGTTGTGTTTTAAAATGCTATGCTAATGCTATTTTCACAGCAACAACAACAACATCTAAGACTACCACAAGGTCTCCATCGGCTCCAACGGGCCCCAGACCGCCCGCCCGTCCACGGAAAAGGATGAGGAAGAATCGCAAAAGAATCAGCAAGAAAGCTATGAGAGCTATGCTAATGTAGAGCTAAGAAAAAAGCCAGGTGAGTTCACCGAACATTCAAATGAAAAAGGGAAACGTTTGTAATGATGATCCAAAATGTTTTCTATTACCTGTTAAAAGTATGTTTACTGATGTTTCTTCTCTAGGGACACAAGGTGAACTTGGTGTATTTCGTGGATCCAGAGGTGAAGCGCAGTGACTTCCTTCATATACGTATTTATTCACTTGTCAGTAACCTGCTCGTCCTGGTCCTCCGTAACACTACTAATGACTGTCTGGTGAACCTGTAACGACACGTGTGTGGAGTCAGACGAGGGTGAGAAGAAAAAGGAATATAAAGAAAGAAAGGCGGAGACGGCTAAAGACTTGGCGGCTAGCCTCTACGGTGACAGTCGCTGGTAGGAAGTAACACACGGCACCCGAAGACTGAGAAAAAGTGGGGGACTGAAACTGCTTCGCTGTAGAGCTGAGGACAAAAAGTGCAATCTCGAAACTCTTCTGAAAACCGTGTTTTGATATCAACCGAGAGAAGCTGCACTTACATGTTGACAGAGTCGCTACGGGGTTCAAATGACAAAGTGTGTTGCTGAAAGACTTCTTTTTGATAACACAATCAGGACGGACAACAATGTGCATTTGGTGGAAGAATGGACATATAAATGGACTTTTGTGTCATTGAAGAAGATAATCGAGACAATCATCAATAGATCGTAAAAACGAGTGACTAAAATGAGCAGTATTTCCTTTTTGATAGATCATGGGAACAGAGAGCTGTGTAAATGTACCGTCAGAAGCATGATATCATTTTTTAGCTCCGTAAAACAGCGATGGTCTCTCTCGTCTAACCATATTTAATTATGTTTAACACACTGGAATTACACTGAAGCGATTAGAGGACAAGAACATCAAATGTTGCATTTTTAAAATCTCATCCCAGGTGAAGAAAAAGGTGCTATCTGAACACGAGGTGATAGCGTTACGCCTGTGACCTGACGCTGTGCTATGTTTCTTATTTATTTATCTCTGCCATTACTGTGGATTAACTTTTTTTTATACTTTAAATACTGCAAGACAAGATGAGATATGTTACTATGCTTTGTGATGACTAGGTGGTTCGAACAGGATCATGCAGGGTTTAACTTCTATTTCAGTGTTTGTTTTGTATGCTTTAGTGCGTCTCGAAACGTATTTGTTCCTCTATTCCAGGGGTTCCCAAACTTTTCAGCCCGCGACCCCCAAAATAACAGTGCCAGAGACTGGCGACCCCCTGTCGACGGGGTGGGGGGGGGGGGGGGTCCATGAGTGTTTTTTATTGGTTAAGTGGTCCTTTGTATGAAAAAGTTTGAGAAACACTGCGCTCGTTGCGGGGAAATTATACAGATGGCTAGTCCGCCCCTGAAAATGTCTATGCAAACGTTATTATTAGTAATAATAATTTTTAAAAAATTAATCAATTTTCTTTTATACATTTTTATTTTGTAATCATCTCGCGACCCCCACGAACCTCACTTTGGGAACCCCTGGACTAATACAGTTTGAGATACAGTCAGCTGGGAAGTGATGCATCTGCAAAGTATACAGTAGGCTACCTTGTTTAGTGAAATAAAAAAGAAGAAGCCACAACAGGTAAAATACCATGCCCAATCATTTTACAAATATGTGAAACATATATGATTTTCACATTATTGATAAAATATTAATCATCAAATCACATTCAGAATCAGCTTGCAGAAAGGGATTATTTGTATTGTATTGAGGAATGGTTTTATTAGATTAACCTCACTGACGAACTCTGTTGAAACACGCTTTGGGAATTGTATCTTGAATTTGTGACAAATGAAGTTGGTTTATTTCAGCGGTTTTGAAGATTATAAATGTTTGTGTCTGGTGAGCTGTAAAAACATTTAGCTGACTTAAGATAAGAGATCAAATATAAGAGTATTTTGTTTTCTGTCCAAAGGATACATTTTGTCCCTGGTCAAAAATATTATCCTGAGACATTATACCAAACCCTTCCAATACTTAGTCTCTCTGTCTGTCAAGGGTAAGAGAGGTGCCATGACAGATGTTTAACTATTCATTTAACTTGTAAATTGCGCCCTACTTATATCAATAATTTTTTAGACTGCCAAGGCACAC